AAAGTTAGAAGTAATATGTTATAAAGCACATAAAATATTGTCCTGGCATTAAACAAGGCAAAAATGAAACAAAAAGAGTGAAATCAAAACCATCTCATAACAGTTATTCCTGGGTGGCTGTCTATAGACAACATTTTGTCCTTTTATTATCTATATTTTCCAAATATTTTGCCAGGCATATCTCATACTCATAACAAAAAATGCTATTAAACATTTTTTCAACATTAGAAAAATGTTCAAACATACAAGAGTTGAATTGTATTGTGAACATCTATATAGTCAATAATTCAGAGTCTATAATTAATATTTGCTTTATCATATATGTATTTCCCTACTGTTGATCCATCAATCTACTTTAATATATTGAAACATTTAAAAGTAAGTTGTAGACTACAACCTAAATTTATCAGCAGGGCTCAAATTATTTTATCTTCTGGTAAAAGCTATGTGAGATAACATGCACAAATCTTAAGGGTACCATTCTATGAGTGTGGACAAACAACTGTGTAACAGAAACCCTACAATGAACAACAAAAACCCTACAATGTTCTCTCAAAACCCTATAATGTTCCTTATATTCCTTGCCAGTCAGTCATCACTATCTCTAGCCCCGTAAGATATTTTCTCAACCCACCTTATTTTGCCTATCCTCAAAGAGCCCATAAATTATTTCTTAAAACATGTGATAAGTCTTCTTGTACTCAATGTAATGTTTTTGAGATTTCTCTATTTCACTGCCTACACCAGAAGCTTGCTTCTTTGCATTCCATTGCATAAGTATACCATAGCTTATTTATCTATTCCCTTATTGACAAACACTTAGGCTGTTCCTAGTTTTTGGTCACTATAAATAAAGCTGATAGATCATTCCATATATCTTTTTGTGAATGTGTTTTTCTCTTGGATAAATATCTAGGAATAAAAATGATGGATCATTTCCTTTGTTTATAAAAACTGCCAGAATTTTCATCAAGTTTTCTACTCCATTTTCTACTCCCAACCATAAATATCTGAAAATTCTTGTTTCTTGTTTCAAAAAATTTTGGTTGTTTTGGTGCTGAGATTGAACCTACAGCCTTTGCTCTGAGCGAGATCCCCAATCCTTTTTAGTATTTTTTTGAGACAAATTTGACCAGGCTGAGCTCAAATTTTTGATCCCTCTTCCTCAACCCTCTAATCACAGATTACAGGTGTGTGTCATCATGTCTGGGTTGTTTCAAATATTTTGACAATATTTAACATAGTCAGTAGTTTTAATTTTGGTCTTTCTGACCATGTGATAATATCTTATGCTTTAACTTGTATTTCTTTCACAACTGGTAAGATGTGCAACCTTTCCCTTTGCTTATTGAATATTTGTGTATCTTGTGAAGTATCTGTTCAAGTATTTTATCTACATTTTAATTGGATCACATGAGGTTGTAAAATTTTATTATTATTGAGTTTTAGGGCTTTTTTGCATGTCCTGAATACCAGTATTTGTCAGGTATCTGTTCAGGATTTTTTTTTTTTTTTTGAGATGTTTTAGGACTTCATCCCCAACTGTGCCATTTACAAGTAAAGGGGTTTTGCTTTTTTTCAATCTGTATGTCTATTTTTCTTGCCTAATTGCAAAGGCTAAGACTGTTTACTTAGTAAGAAACAAATTTTAAATGGACACCCTTACCTTGCTCCTGATCTTTTTAAGAAACAAACAGTCCAAATTCAATTATTAAATGCAATATTAGCCACAGGTATTTCATAGATGCCCTTTAACAGATCAAAGAGATTCTCTTCTACATCTATTTGCTAACAGGTTTTTTGCTCTGTTTCCTTTTGTCTTATCAAGAAAGGATATTGAATGTTGTCAAGTTTTAAGTGGTTTTTGTTTTTATGGCACTAGGCATTGAACCTGGGGCCTCACACCTACTAGGTTAAGCACTCTGCCACTGAGCTACACCCCCAGCCCAAGTAATTTTTTCTGAATCTTCTAACAATATGTTTTTCTGAATTAGTGACTTTTTTAATGTTACACCAGCCTAGTTTTTGTAAGATAAACTTGATGTGATCATGATATAGTATATCTATTGTTCTTGATTCAATTTACTAAAATTATGTTAGTACTTTTGCATGTACATTATGAAAACTTTTGGTCTGTTATTTTTTTCCTAAAACGTCTTTGTCGGATTTAAGGTTATGCTGGTCTCTTCAAATAGGTTAGGAAATGTTCCCTTCTCCATTTTCTTTAAGAATCTACTCCAGATTGGAATTACTTCTATAAATGCTTGACGGAATTCATTGGTAAACCTATCATTATAGGGCTTTCTCTTTAGTAAGATATTTGACAGCATGTTCAGCTTCTTTAATACGTAAGGCTATTGAGATTTCTGTTTCTTCTGGTATCAGTTTTAGTAAATTGTATTTTTCAAGAATTTGTCCATGTAATCAAAGCTGAATATATTGGCATGCAATTGTTCAAATATGCTCTTAATGCATTTAAATATTTATAGGCTCTGTAATGACAGTCTCTTTCATTCGTGGTATTGGTAAATTGTGTTCATTCTCTGTCCAACACCCTTACTTTTTCACTTCAGTTACTTAATTTTTTCAGCTTAAGATGGTAACTTATATTACTAATTTTTAGATCTATCTTTTCTAATATAAATATTTAGTGTTTCCCTAAACTTTGTTTAGCCTGATTCCAGAAAGTTTTATATATTCTGCTTTCATATTCACTTTGAAATGTCTTCTAATTTTTCTTATAATCTTTTTCATTTACTCATGAATTATTTAGAACTCTACTTTTAATTTCTGAGTATTTCAGGTTTCTCAGGTTTCATTTAAATCTTATTAATTTATAATTTAATTTCATTATGGTTAGGAAATAACACTCTTCATAAATTCAATTCTTTTAAGTGTCTTGAGATCGTGCATATACCAGCATACAGTCTGAGTAAGTGAATGTCCTACATGCCTTTGAAAAAAAGGAGTATTCTATTGCAGTTGTGCCATGTGGTGTCCTACCAACATCCATTAGATCAAGGAGGGTAATAATGTTCACATCTTCTAATTTGTTGATGTCTAGTTGTATAAACTGCTAACACAGTGGTGTTAAATTTCCAACAATACTTGTAAAATTATCTATTTGTCCCTTTAATTCATAAATTACTGATTTAAATATGTCACAATCACATGTTTGTTATCTGGATCCCAGGACTTGGAGGTCTCAGGCAGGAGGATCATTACAGTCCAGGAGTTTAAGACAAGCCTAGGTAATAGGGTGAGACCCTGTCTCTAAAAAATCATTCTGATAAACTGACATTTTTACCACTAAAGAATGCCTCTCTATACTTCAAATAATATTGTCTTCAAGTCTACTTTATTTGATATTAACATAGCCAATGTGGCCTTATACTTACTGTTTCCATGGTATATATTTTTCTATGAATTTACATTATTATGTCTTTATATTTAAAGCTTGCCTCTTACAGACAGCAGATAGGTGGATCTTGGTTTTTGCTTGTTTTTATCTGTCCTGACAATCTCTAACTATATGTTGGATATAGTTGGATAAAGGTCTAC